GACACAGTAGAACCCTGCATGGTTATAAGACACTGTACCTGCTGAGAGTCTGGGTGGCTTCCTACTGCCCTGGAGGACAGTGCAAGGGCCGAGAAGGGAAGCTCTGCCCTAGATGATTCTACAACACCCTGCAGTACTGAAGGTTTGTGGTGCATGTTCCCAAGTATTAGTCCTGTGTGGCTGACTTGCGCTGCTTTTCAGTGAGAAAGGCTGGTGGCTCACAGTTCTGCTATTCTGTAGACCAGCTGACTCCCCTCAAATGCTCAAGAAGTGCTGAATTATTTGCATTCTCACAAACCCCAAATTTAAATGTCTACATCTTTTAGTTATGATTTATCTCATTAATCTTTAGGTTATATTGGCTTTCAGCTGCATCAGTCAGCAACTCCACTCCCACCTACGTACTCAGCCTCATCAGTACACAGTATGGACCAAACTGTCCCTTGTCCAAATTGCAGGCTTGGATGCACTGAACAGTGATTTCAGGTGATATCCAGTGATACTGTCCCAGTAGAAGGACCACCTCTGTGCACTGCGGATCAGAAGGCACAAGGCTGCCCATGCTGTGATTAAGGCTAGAATTCCCAGCCTTCAGGCAAAGTAAGCAGCAAGCAAACCACAACCAAAACTGAAAGTAAAGTCAGACGTGGGTGTCCTGGGTCACAACTCCGGTTCTAATTCCACGGAAGATCGAGATTGAATTTTGGTGTTGTAGGTGCTGGTGACAGTCTTAGAGGACTCAGTTAAATGAGAGGCTGCTCATAAAGTGCAGCAACAACAGGATTCCACCCAGATAGCAGACTCTTCCTTCCTATTCGATAACCAGCCTTCCCTAACAACAAACTGACCTCAAAATAAAGTAGCAGCCAGTCTCACCATTTCCCAGCCCGCATACACCAGAGTCCTCCTAATGATTGTTTTCTCAGTCTCCATACAGAGGGTTCTGCTGCCTGCCACCCAAAGAGGAGTCTTCATTCTGCCATTTGGGGACAAATTAGTAAGTTTGGCTCTATGGAGATTTCACATGCATCTCTGTGATTCACTGTGCACACTGTCCTCACTGGCTATGCTTCTGGACACACTAAAGTCAGTCACGAGGTTAAGCCATGCCATGGGACCTCTTTCAGGAGGGAATTCCTCTGAGAGTCAAAGGCATGAATTCCAGCCTATCTTGCATTGTGGGTTTTTTTTTTTAATTGTTTCTCACATAAGTGTGGAAGTTCTATTGCTCTGAAAAAAAAAAGCTTCTTATGTGTATGGGTGTTCTGTCGGCAAACACACACACACACACACACACACACACACACACACACACACACACACACACACACGCGCGCCTGTGTAGCATGTGCATGCCTGGTGTCCATGGATATCAGAAGAAGGGAGTGTTGGATCCCCTGGAACTTGAGTCACAGACAGTTGAGCTGTCATGTGGGCACTAGGAACTAAACCCAGGTCCTCTGCAGGAGAGGCTAGTGCTCTTAACTGCTGAACCATCTCCCCAGTCCCTCTTTGACTCGTTTTGTATAAGTCTATTTAGAGTTGAAATTATAGTGCATGGCTCTCAGTTCTACCAGCAGTGCTCAGAATAAGAAAGAGGATGGAGGGGAAGGGAGGACCAATATATTATATTGAAGTAAACTCTAAAATGTAATGAATTCTGAATACTCTTGCTTCATAAGACAAGTTATAGCCAAATCTTCCCAAGGTGCATATCTGAATTTTAATTTCTCCTTGAGCACCATCCAAACATGGCAGGAGCTACAGTTAGAGATAATTAGGGGTTGGGCAAAATACTTTTACATGCTTTAGAATCACATTGCCCCCTAAAATAACCTACCAAGTCTATCTATCTCATGTGTCTTATTAAAGCCAATGCCACTTAAAATATATCTCCACTGAAGTATCCCTATGAGGATGTGTGAACACGGAGCAGGGATGTGGCTCTCTCAAGAATGAGGACAAATGCTTTCAGGCTGTTGTGTCTAGTCCCAAGGCTGAGGATGAGCAGCGGCTTGCCCATCAGACCTCACCCTTCATACTATCCATAGCTTCAGATTTATTGTTCTTTAGTGACTGCAGTATCAGTCACATCTCTTTGGGGGTACCAGGCTGCACAAATACAAAGTGTCTTCCTGGCCTTGTCTGAACAGCATCCTAAGGGTTCCTGTGTCTAGGAATCTGATGATTATGTCAAATCACTGGACTATTTGGTGGGCCTGGAGAGATTTTTAAAACAATCATAATAAGTCAGTAGGTTGCCGAGTCAACTGGCTGATGTCAATGAAATGGCAATTTGATATCTAATAGCACAGACTAAACACAGACCAGTTACCCAGCAGGCCACTTCTTACTGATCTCATCATCTTGACAGCTTCACATCTTGTAATCTGCAAAGCTTCTAGGAGAGAGAAGCTCTGTAACACCCTCCCCCCCAGTACATGTGTGATGGTAAGGGACAGAATTTATTCTATGGGGAGAAACAGGGTATTCATTCTTCTTTTTTACAGATGTTGGTTCTACTACGTTTTGTAACAGTAATAATTATAAGAGAAACTTTGAAACAAGATAAATTTACAGCCAAGCAGAATATGAGTAACTCAGTCAGTATCCTATGCCCAACTTCTCCAAAGACAGTAGGAAATCCCCACTGTACTCGTTGTTAGAAAATATGCAGACAATTTCTCATGTTGACATTTACAGGTGAAAACATAGTTCATGGGGTTCTTGTAACCTTCTAACCTGACAAAAAAAATTCTGTTTGCACCATAGCTCTTTCTGACAATGTGCTGATATGTATTTTGATGCTACAGAAATGCTAAAGATTGATGCTAAAGAAATTGAAACCATTTTTTTTTTTTTGGTTTTTCGAGACAGGGTTTCTCTGGGTAGCTTTGCGCCTTTCCTGGAACTCACTTGGTAGCCCAGGCTGGCCTCGAACTCACAGAGATCCGCCTGGCTCTGCCTCCCGAGTGCTGGGATTAAAGGCGTGCGCCACCACCGCCCGGCTCTGAAACCATTTTTTAATGGGCCTATTCTGGGGCTGGGAAGATGATTCTGTGGGTAAAGTACTTGTCACAGTATGGGGACCAGAGTTTGGATCACCAGCATCCAGACAATGTGTTGGGCAGGTGTAGTGGCCATGGTAACCCAAGCGCATGGGAAGCAGAGAAGGGGATCCCTGGAGCCAGCCAGCAAGCTTGCTTAACTAATGGAATAAGAGAGCTCTGAGTTCCAGTAGGAGACCTTGCCTCATACATAAGGTGAAACAAGACCAAAGAAGACATCAGTCTCTAGTCTCCACATGCAAAGGCACCCAACAGAGCATGTGCACACCACCACATGTGTGCTCTCACTCACATACACATGAATACATAGCACACATACACATGCAGAAATAAACAAAAGCACCTATTTTGAAACTGAATTTCTCCTCTGGTACGATCTCATGTTGAATTTACTTTGATCGTGTTGAGAAATGAACTTATAAAGTGTTAGTTAAATGCAACAAATTAGGATCATCCAATGGTCAGTCATCCCATTCTTGTGTTTTAAGGGCATCTCTCTATGCTCTGGACCATAGGGCAGCGAGATTCCTGATTCCTGACCATTGTGATAGGTTGGGAAACTGTTTGCCTTTAAAGCCATGCTAGTTCAGTGAAGTGTTTATTCTGGGAGCTTCATTTCCCTCTTCTTGGCCACCTACACCTCATTCCTTAACCAAGGCAGTAAATGTCTAAACTTGGTGCTGGTTCTGGTAAACATGGTGATGACATCAGCCTGTGTTCCGGCTCCTAGAGAACACTGACCACTCCGTCACTTGTGGCCAGTTAGGTCCCAACAGCACTGTCTTGTCCGCACAGCCCCAGGACAGTCACCATGGGGTTCTCAAAGGCTTGCTTTGTCATGATCACGGATGAGGAGAGGGTGGAGGAAAAGAAGAACCACACAACTGTTTCAAGGGAGAGCTAACCTCAGGTCACACAGCAATATGATGTTCCTGACTTCACTGAACTGTACATTTGAAATGGTTGACATGCTAAATTTTGTTAAAAGCTGTGCGTTTGTGTGTATAATGGGCGGCAACTGCCCACACCGTGGGGCTGCTGCTCTGAACATCTATTAAGCCGAGCTGCCTGCATTCTAAGTAAGCATCCATTCCTTGCAAATTAGCAAACCGCATGTAACCACAGAAGTTTCTAGCTACAAGTGCCACAGAAGAAAACCTCAAAAACACCATGTGAGAGTGGGGGATAGGGATCATGCGGAAGCTCTGCTTCCTCTGGGTAGTTCTTTGATGGATGGTGTGGGGAGCCAGGGACTGGGGCAGCCTTACCTCTTGTCTCCGGAATCTCATGGACTTGCCCTTATGGAGGGCAACAAGACCCCTGTGATCGCTCGCCAAAGGATGGTGCTGTTACTGTGGAGGGTGTCGCTGGCCTGAGACTTCTACAACAGTGTACACATTATCTACTAGCTTTCCAGGGGCTGAGGCAACTGAGCCTTCCTGCTCTTCCCTCAGACAGTAGCTAGCTGAGAACCTTTAGGTCTGAGCAGGGCAACAAGGTGTCAAGGTTAGCTGCGGAGTGAAGGGGCGGCGGGGTGGCTGAAGCTTTAAGAGCTGGGATCTGTCAGGCTCTTGGGTACCGAACTTTGGCAGTAGAAAATCAAGTGCGGGATTAGAACTAAAGCACGGGTCATCTGGCTAGAGTTGTCATCACATCTCGGTTCCTAACGCAGGGGGCAAACGTCAGTCTGCACTGGTTCTGAGCTGCCCCTGCCGACCTCTGCCCCCAGGCTGTCCACACTTTCACCTGCACCTGGCAGGCCCTGGCGGGCTGGTACTTGCAAGATCCACAAGATCCACTGAGAAGCTCAGCTGGAGGCTGCAACCCGAAGTTGCGGGAGCAGTGGCCTGGCGAGCACTCTGGGTGCCAGACACTTCCAGAAAGTTTCCATTTATCGCTCGCTACAAACGCCCCACCCTCACAATTACTTACCAGTAGCGGAGACCAGCAGACAGACAGCACACACATGATCCCCATGAGTTGGATGGCCGTCTCGGTGGTGATCCGACCCCACTGGGCGCTAGACTGAGAGGCAGCGGCCTTGGCCCGGCAGCGGGACACTAGGGCTTTGATGGTAGCCAAGTTGCAGGCAAAGGTGACCACCAGAGCCAGCAGCCCCAGGCAGGCGAAGGCGGAGGCAAAGGCCACGCTGCCCGGCTCCCGCGCAGGGTCGGTCTCGTTGCCCGCGGGCCCGGTGCTGATGAAGCACCACGTGCCGGGCCACTGCACGCTGTAGCGGCCCACCCCCAGCACTGGTAGCAGTGCGAAGGCAAGCACTGCCAGCCACACGCCTAGCAGCACAGCGCGCGTGGCGCGAGTCTTCATGTGGCTAGCGTACCAGTGAGGCGCGCGAATGGCCAGCGCGCGCTCCACGGCCATGGCACTGGCCACCAGGAGCGAGGACAGCCCGAACACCGTCATGGCCAGTCCGAAGAAGGTGCATAATCGCCCCGATGGGTCGAGCTGCTCCCAGCGCCGCTGCGACAGGTACACGAGGATGACTACCGGGCTGGTCAAGAGCTGCCCCACCAAGTCAGTAAGGGCCAGCCAGCCAATGCACAGCAAGAAAGACTTCTTGCGCTTGCTCTCACGGCGCCGGTAGCTGCGCGATACAAGCAGCATGGCCAGCGCGTTGCCCACGAAACCGGTAACCATCATGGTGATGGGGAAGGCCACGGACACTGAGCCGCAGTCCTCCGCTGCGCTCGACAGGTTGCTGCGCGCTTCAGCGGAGCGCCCCGGAGCCCACATGCCGGCCAGAGTGGCAGTGCCGCGGAAAGGCGCGCGGGGCGGAGGCCTTCCGACTCAGTTGTTGGGCAGCTTCGTGCACGGAAGGACGGCGCGGTCCTGGGCTCTGCTCTCCATCGCCCGCCGCCGCCGCCGCCGCCCGCGCCAGGCTGCGGGGTCCCGGCAGGCGCCGCCCGACGCCGCGCGAGGCTCCACCCGCGGCTGGGAGCCGGAGGGGCGGTGCTGCGCGTGGGCAGCCTGGGGGCGGGGTCGGCCGGGATCACCTGGCGCAGCGACCCCTGGGCCCGCACTCACTAGCTCGGGGCACTTCCCGCGTCGGACTCTGTACAAAGTGCTGGACGGATTCTATGTGACAACTAGGAAAAGTAAAGGCGAAATTGGACATATTATTATCTGTGTGAATCACAATGCTGATTTCTGATTATGTTTGGCTGTCATGGAATTTTTTGTATTTGTTTTATTTAGGAAAAAGATATAATGCTTACAAGAGACCCACAGCTGGGAAAGAATAAGGATGAGCTTGTGTTTTAAATCTCCTTCAAATTACTGCCTTTGAACTAATTCCAAATTCATATTGGGAAAGTGTATTTCTAGGATAATGTCAGTTTAAAAGTTTAACAACAGTTGACATTCATTCTTGGATGTAAAAGCAAGCAAGCACATGGATGAGAGTACATACTAAATTCACATTTTAGCAATGAGAGAAATCCTAGTATAAAAATTTTAAGAGCATTTCAGAATTCATTCATCAAAGAAAATAATGTCACCCTATAGTTGTATCAAAATTTTCTATTTATGGATAATTGATATAATTATAAATTAAATTCTATGATTAATTTATAATATTTATTATATATTAATAATATTTATATCAACATCTCCTTCTCTATACCCCACCCCACTGTGTGTGCGTGTGTGTGTGTGTGTGTGTGTGTGTGTGTGTGTGTGTGTGTGTGTTTGCATGGAGGTCAGACTTCAGCGTCAGGTGTCTTCCACTGACTCTCTGCTTGGTGAGTCTCCTCCCACACCCCAGCAGGGGATTGTAGCACAACAGCTAGGCTTTTACTCAGATGTTGGGAATCCCAACTCAGGTCTTCATTCATTGAGCCACTTTCCCAGGCCCTAAAGCTCACAATGAGAATATGTGTTGGCAACGGTGATTAGTCTCTTCCTCACCTTAACTGAGTTTCAGTAACCCTTTCCTTGTTACAGCATTTTTCCATCCCTAGTTATCTACTTTTTAGCTGTTCACCTTGCAAATAAGAAACTTTGAGGCTTGAATGGTTGGTTTCCTGTTGGCAGTTTTTGCTAGCTCCAAGAGTTGGTCTGAAACAATACTCCCCTCTAGTGACTAAAAGGCTAACATGCACTATCCTGTATTAAAGAGAATTTCTCTTTTAAAAAGTTTAACCTTGTATGGGTATGTGTGTGAATGTGTTCATGTGTGTGTGGATGCCCATGATTGTGGAGGCTTAGGAACAATCTGGGGTACCATCTCTAGGAATGCTGTTCACTTCCTTTGAAACTGGGTCTCTCATTGTCTGGAGCTCACCAATTGGGCTAGAATGACTAGTCAGTGAGCCTCATCCCCCAATGCTGGGATTATAAACCCACACCACTAGACAGAGCATTTCCACATGGGCTTTGGGGATTGAGTTCAACCCTGTACTTGAAAGAAAACCATCCCCCTTTCCTCATTAAAGACAGTTTCCCAATGGTCACTCTCTGCTTTGCTTAGGGAATCTGATTTCTTTCTTAGAAATATAGTCATTAGTAACAATAATCATTGCCCCCAACTTGAGTTCACAACTTGCATCTCTGATTAGCCAATAAACCAGTAGAAACTGAAATTAAAGGGCCATGTCAAGTTTCAAAAAATTTAAAGCTTATATTCACCTATCATATTTTCTGCTCTAAAATATTTTAATATACAACTAATTTATCTCACTTGTAACTTGGTTTTCAATTCACCACATTTCTTTCTTGTTGTGGGATGTTCTGTATGTCAAATATGTTACTCTGATTGGTTAGTAAATAAAACACTGATTGGCCAGTAGCCAGGCAGGAAGGATAGGTGGGACAAGCAGAGAAGAGAATTCTGGGAAGAGGAAGGCTGAGTCAGAGAGACACTGCCAGCCGCCACCAGGACAAGCAGCATGTGAAAATGCCGGTAAGCCACGAGCCATGTGACAAGGTATAGATTTATAGAAATGGATTAGTTTAAGATATAAGAACAGTTAGCAAAAAGCCTGCCACGGCCATACAGTTTATAAACAATATAAATCTCTGTGTTTACTTGGTTGGGTCTGAGCGGCTGTGGGACTGGCGGGTGAGAGAGATTTGTCCTGACTGTGGGCCAGGCAGGAAAACTCTAGCTACACTTTCTTTTTTTCTTTTTTTGGTTTTTTGAGACAGGGTTTCTCTGTGTAGCTTTGGAGCCTGTCCTGGAACTCACTCTGTAGCCCAGGCTAGCCTTGAACTCACAGAGATCCGCCTGCCTCTGCCTCCCGAGTGCTGGGATTAAAGGCTGTGTCACCACAGCCTGGCTCAGTTCACCATATTTCAATATTTAGCTAATGTATATGAATTTATTTCACTGTGTTGAACTTCCATAAGGACTCTAGCCTCAAAACTAGACCCATTGTTGCCTTGTGAAGAACCTGCAATTAGTTGTGAAGTGTATTTTTCATTCTTCACTCATTTGCTAAGCACTCACTGGGTACCTTGTCTGTCAGACACTGTCTTAGCCTTAGAGATACCAATTAACACATTGAAGTCTCTACAGTTATCGAATTTAATATTAAACCCTTGATTTTCAAAAGCCCCACAGAGGGAAGGATACAGATCCCAGAGACTTTGTCTTTGTAGAATGATTTGCTTTGGAGGTGGCATCCTATAACTTAGTGAAAATTATACAACACTGTAGTGACTCTGGATTCAGCTTCTCCCCCTGTGGACACTTGACTGTTCCACTGGACAGTTCCTGTCCCAAGGGTCACACCTGTTGCTATTTCTTTCCCTCTCTCAGGCCTGCTTTTATGGCTGTGTTCACTGTAGATGGACTTCCTCTGTGCTTCTGTAATTTGCTGGTCAGTGATGGGGATCACACTCTCTGGTTCTGATTCTAAGGGTACTTCTTTCAAGCTCCTGCTGTGTCCTGAATTGCCCATGGTGGGTAGGCACTCCTTTAGAAGCATCCATGCTCTAGACATATTCAACAATTTAACCATTTTGGAACTAACTTCTGTCTGCTCAGTACTTGTGTTTCTTCTTCACGGGGTCTCTGCTCCTTGGGCAAAGTTCAGCTGTGAAACGTGGATCAGGGTTGGTTCTTTTGCACCTCTACTGTGGGCCTAGTTGTGAGAATCTCTTGTTAAACCTGTGGCTTTCCACGCTTAACTTCGATCACTGGCACTTTTCACCTGTAACTCTGTGCCTTCCTCATCCCTGCTTTCTAGTGTTTTCCTGAAGGTTGAGTAGTAGCCTCATTCCAATAACAGCTCTCAGTTCCAGGTTTCCCTTTTTTCTATTAAAATTAACCCCTTTGGTATCTTCATGCTTTTTAATGTTTTCTACTGAGATTAATACTTTAACAAAATTTAAATGTCTTTGGTATTTAAAGACTAACATTTATTGGCATCTACGAGGTAGTGTGATATCGGCATACAGAGACATTGCTGTTTTTAAAGTGTCCTTTCCAAAATTCAAGCATCAAAACTTCTTGTGATGGTTTTAGAAGTAGAGCTTGTATGTATATCCTTCAGCTTCTTCTATTCTATCACAGGTACATGGAAGAAACTAAGATAAATACAAAAGCCAATGAAAGAGAATGTTCTAGAATTATACATATGAAGTAGATATGTATGAACTATTTATTACATATACACACACCACGGTATATATTTGCAAAATCAATTGTTTTTGTCACAGATGTTAAAAAGAAGAGTCTCCAACAAATGCTGTTATGAAGCTGATTATGGTGCTACACAATTGTAATCTCAGCACTTGTGAGGCTGAGGTAGGAAAATTTCCTTGAGTTTGAGGACCCTTGTGAAGGCCACATGACAGATCATGTCTGAAATAACAACAAACCTCTGAATCAAAACAGGTTATCTATCTGTATGGAAATAAAAAATAAACATGACCCTCACCACACATAGAATGAATAAAGATTTAAATGTATGTTTGAACTATAAATCTAGACTAAAATAGAATATTCTTCTCTGACACTACTAGGAATATCACTGCAGCATATTTTGTTTAGTAACATGATCACCCCTTTTGGCCAACACGCATGGAAATCTTTCATCCTTCTTGAATGCTAGTAATCTAACCAATTATTTCTGAATGTTTGGATTGTTTGGTAGTTTATCTTTACTGCCAATTGGCTGTATTTAGTTGTCTAGACACACCTTTGGGTGTGTCTGTAGGATGTTTCCAGAGAATTAACTAGGGAAGAAACACAGACTCTGAGTGTGGGCAGCTCCACCTACTGGGCTGAGGACCCTGACAGAAAAGGGAAAGGAGGGGGCCAGGAGATCACCAACATAGTCTGTTTCCTGACTGTGGATCCAATGTGACCAGCTGCCTTGCACATCAGCCAGGTTGACTGCATTGCACAATGGGCTGTTTCCTCACCCCACCCCAAACTGTAAAACAAAGTAAACACTTGAGTTGCTTTTGTCAAGTAATTTGTTATAGCAATGAAAAGTAACTGATACAGAAAATTGGTACTGAGAAGTGGGGACATTAACGTGACTATCTACGGGCCCAAAGGTGTTGTGTGCTGGGGTGGCAGAACTGGAGGGTGGGTCTGCCCAATCCGTTTGGAGGCCAGATAAGACAAATCCCTCAGATTCTAGATGCTAAGATTTGGTGTTTGCCCTGCTGGGTTTTGGTCCCACTTTTGCCCAGTTTTCCCATGATATGTCCCATTCCTCCCCTTTAGAATGTGAATGTTTATTCTGTGCTGGATATTGGAAATATTACACCTACATTTTTATTTTTTTAGGGTATGGTGATTTGAATAGGAATGGCCCCAATAGACTTATGTTTGAATGTTTGGCCCAGAGGAAGTAGTCCTGTTAGGAGATGTGACCTTGTTGGAGGAAGTGTGTCACTGTGGGGCCAAGCTTTGAGGTCCCAGATGCTCAAGTTAGGCCTAGTGTCACT